TTCTAAAGCACTGAAAAGAACAAATTTTGAATTATTATAAACTATATTTTTACATGTTTATTTTATATAATGAAAAATGTTAATTGACATTTTGGAAATATCTGGAATATATTTCAACTTACGGAGCACTCCGAACAAATCTGTCATGAGCATGACGCAGCCATCCTTTGGCACACTGCTCCACTTGGCTCTGCGTCACACGCTGTTGTTCAGATACAATATCTGAAAACATTATTGGTTCAATTATTTGTTTAAATAATAAATAGTTTAAAGTAAGTCATTTAATGCATTAATTAATACCTATAATCATTTTTACTATCAGGAGAGCCGAAAAATTCTTTTTCGCTTTTCCTCCAACCCAGCTATACTCCTTCGCTACCACATCCTTAAATACTTTTTTTAAAAGGGATATGGTAGCGCTTTTGCAATCTACCCCACCAACTCGTCCTAGGCGTGCTTTCTAAAATGATACAGTATATGTAATTGATTTGTCCATTTTATCCATTCAGAAACATATCATATTTACCAATTTTTCTGCTATTGACGCATCTGTCAATAGCTGCTCCACATCTAGCAGTTCTGCCTCTGTCCGAACAGGAAATTTATTATAAACTGCCAGTGTATAATCAGGCAAATCATTCGCCTTTTTACACTGGCAGCACTGCTTACTAATGCTGTCCATTACAGCTTGGAGCTTACTGTCGATGGTGGCATTCAGCTGCTCAAATTTTAGATTTATTTTTGTGTCCAGCCTCGAAATAAGTTTCTCCAAATCTGTTTTTTAAAGTTGTCTTAACTTCATAATGTACATTAACATTGAAGTAATTAAAGTAATGAAATAACTCACTTTTGTACCCATCCATGGGCTCTGTGCTGCTCCCAGCACCATGGTCAAAGATCCTATTTCCATCATCATAATCTTAAATATAATAATAGGTGATATGATATGTAACATTATTATACTTTTTAGTAGATTACTTACAAGTGTTATTTAGACGCCTTGTATTTGGCGTTGGTCCCCTATTAACCATTACTGATGTGGAATCTAAAATTTTAGATTAATAATATCAACATAACATAACTTTATTTGATTTGCATTGGGTTTACTTACTGCTCTGCATGGTATGTCGAAACAATCCGTTGTCAAAGCCTAAAAATAAAATGGTTTAAACTGAACTGAATTAAACATAAGATATATATAATATATATATATTATATGCCAGTGTATATATACATTACACTGGCAGCAATGTTATCAAGCCTGTCCATTACATATTAGTGTTTGCTATCTATGCTTGCACATATTTGTTCAAAATTCTGATTGATTTTTGTATCCAATCTTAATATGAGTTTCTCCAATTCTGTTTTTTCAAGCTGTCTTAACTTCATAATGTAACATTGATGTAATTAATGTAATGAAATAACTCACCTTTGTACCCACCCGTGGGCTCTGTGCTGCTCCCAGCATGATCAACCAGCCTTCCGGCCTCATCGCAATCTTAAATATAATATTAGGTGATATGATTAATGTTACATACATCAATATACTTTTTAGAAGATTACTTACAAGTGTTAATTAGACGTTGACTTGGTGTTGATTGGTGTTGTCTATTAACTACTGATGTGAAATCAAAAATTTTAGATTATTAATATCAACATAAAATAACTTCATTTGATTTGCATTGGGTTTACTTACTGCTCTGTCCGATAAATCCGTTATCGAAGCCTATAAAGTAAAAATGAATGCAAGATTTACATTTGATAATAAATATTTAATTAAATACAATTTATTGTATGCGATCTTACTGTTGTTTGCAACAGGAGTAGAACATCTACTCAATAAAGTTGGTGGTGCAGGAGCTGGAGGCAAGACGCTAGGCTCGGAGTCCAGGTCAAAATCATCACTGGAACTTCGGTTCCTTCTGGCACGAACTCTCCTTTGTACCTTTCTTGCCTCCGCATCAGAAGTTATATCAGAATATTCGAGGGCCTCCTTCATTTTATCAAGTCCCACCTCAAATGAGTCTACAATCATAATAGAAATATATTTTGATACTCTTATTACTAATTATATCTGTTATGCTATCCACCCGTAGATGTAAAAACTCTGTGGACTTTGTATCTTTTCCAAGACTCCCTTGGCTGCATCATCTGCTTCACTGCTATATTGTACAACTTTTTATCCTCAAAATTAGGATAGAAAGATGTACAATCTTCTCTATTAAACCAATTTTTTGGGATTATATCCACCCCATCTTCAAATAAAACCACAATGAATGATTTTAAACTCATCTAAAATTAAAACCCGATTAGTTTACATTTTAATTACATTTTTATCATAAATTACTAGAATATTTGAATATAATCTTTTCATAGATTATTATATTCGAAGAATTAATCTAATGAATTGCTTACCTTGATGGTTTTATAAATTTTAATTTCAACGTGCAGAATTAACCTCTATGAAACGCCTATCAAATCGGTAGGTGTGGCTTAACGCGGTAGGTGTGGTTATTATTTAAACTATATAATTATATGAAACTATATAATTTAATAATAAAAATGATTAAAATATTATAAAATATTTAATCGAATTTTATATTATTTTAGATAAAAAAAACCTTATTAAGAAAACAGCACGATAAACAAAACTATAATACAACCAAATACAACATAGAGCATTAGAGGTGCTCTATAATCAAGCTTTAAACATTTCATTGATACCAACCGACATAATTCGCGGTGAACAAATATTTTCAAAGTTATGTTTTTTAACATACGCAAATATTTAATAATTATTGCATTAAAAAGTATGAAAAATTGATCAAAAAGACTGTTAAAAAATACCAATTGATTGATATAATAAAAATGCAATTATTTGACAAATTAATTAATCCACCAGACAAAATAGTCTAATTCAGTGATGTGCCGCCGTGCCGCCAAAGATTTTGGCAGGCGTGGCTTGTCGCATGGGCGTAAAATGATAGTACTTATTGATACCAACCGCCAAAGGCGTAAAAATATTTTCGAAGTTGAATGCACTAAAAGTTCCTTATTATAAAAATAAATTAAATTAAAAAAAAATCAACCCATGTCTTATGCTCACGGATAAATATTTCGTTATTCATAGATTCCGATATATGTCGGAACCAAAATCCTTTATAAATGCCGTCATTTTGAACAAATAAAAAAAACTTTGACAAAGCGTCTTCATTGCTTTGTGTTTTTGAGATTTCAAACAGAATGAAAACATTATTTATTATTATTTTAAGTATAGTATTTGGTATTATTAATCATCCATTAAAAAAGATGTTTTTATATAGATTCCGATATATATAGGAACCAAAATCCTTTGTAAATGCCGTCATTTTGAGCTAATAAAAAAAACTTTGACAGCGTCTTCATTGCTTTGTGTTTTTGAGATTTCAAACAGAATGAAAACATTATTTATTATTATTTTAAGTATAGTATTTGGTATTATTAATCATCCATTAAAAAAGATGTTTTTATATAGATTCCGATATATATAGGAACCAAAATCCTTTGTAAATGCCGTCATTTTGAGCTAATAAAAAAACTTTGACAGCGTCTTCATTGCTTTGTGTTTTGAGATTTCAAACAGAATGAAAACATTATTTATTATTATTTTAAGTATAGTATTTATATTATTAATCATCCATAAAAAAAAGATGTTTTTATATAGATTCCGATATATATAGGAACCAAAATCCTTTGTAAATGCCGTCATTTTGAGCTAATAAAAAAAACTTTGACAATGCGTCTTCATTGCTTTGTGTTTTTGAGATTTCAAACAGAATGAAAACATTATTTATTATTATTTTAAGTATAGTATTTGGTATTATTAATCATCCATAAAAAAGATGTTTTTATTATGACTGATAATCACCCGAAAAAATAGTTTTATGAAAAAGTATGATAATGCAAGTATATGGATCACTCCATTGGAATTCCTGCATATTTCCCAATATCTGTACCGAGAGGAAATACAACATATTTGTGAATAATTTCTGTTATGGGCCATGTTAATAAATCAGATGTTTCACTCAACATATATTCCCCAATTAAAGAGGATTTGCAGGGATGGTCAACAAATCTTCTTTCACTTTAAATTCTTTACCTATTATTACTAATTGATTCAGTTTTGTACAGAATGCCACATTAATTATATTCACAATTTTACCATTACGTAAAGCACAAAATGAATCGGACTTTTCATTAATATTGAATGTGAAATCTGAACAATATACAACCTTATACTGTGGATTACCACAATACTCTATCAAAGGCCCTTCGAAATGCATAGACTTCTCACAAACTCTAGACATGGCTACAGGCCTTACATCTTTACCTATAAAATGTTCTTTTACCTCAAAGTATCTTTTATAAATCTGCTGCAATGGTTTCTCTGACTTCCGTATGTATTTTTTCAAGACCTGCATGTAATTCTCAAATTTAAAGGCACTAAATGAATCAAGTGTACCAAAACTTCTGGCGTCATTAGCTAAGTGTAATATGTTATGTATATTATGACTTACATTATGATCTCCATATAATACCTTAAAACTTTCAACAAAATAATGAAGTAGCTGCTCAGCATAATCTAAAAGATCAATTAATAATGTGTTGCTACATAAAATTTCAATAGCAACATGTAAAGTAAAAAAATTTTTATAAAAGTCATTTGAAATATGAGATTTCAAAACTACTGGACCACTATACAATAATAATTGTCTAAATTCTGTAGCTTTCCATGATCTCACATATTTCAATGATCGAGGCTTCCTAGCAAATTCCTTGGGTATATAAATCTTTAAGCTGCATAAAAAATTGGAAATGTCATTAGTTTTAGCATATGGTAAACGAATTGGAAGCTCACCTTCAGTCCACAAAAGCATCAATCTCTTAACAGCTCCTAAACAAATCAAATGCATATAGTCAAGTGGTACATTAGTAACTAAACCAATGTACGGTATTTCAAGCAATCTTGTATAGCCATTGTGGTAGTCTTCATCTTCTAAGCTTCGAAAGTGTTCATCAGTTCTTGCAGGTGATTGCATTTCTGGAAAGCAAATTCTGCGATTAATATGTGAACCACGAACAAGACATTTCGAGCAACTGAAGTAGCCTGTGTGTCCCTTTGTCTGCAATATAAATGATTTGGCGGGAGTATCACAAACAAAATATTTAATGCGTATCTTATAATGTTTCCCATTGTGATCAAAACCCTCAGTGCTTAATATAATTATTTCATCGACAAAATCACTTAAAAATTCATTTGAATCTTTAGGTTTCTCAAGCCCACAGTAAAGTCCAATAATAAATATATATTTGGTAAGAATTACAGAACATAAGATAAGCCAAGCTGACATGTTCGAAGAATTTGAGAGAGGCAAACCATCAACATTAATTTCTAAATCGATGATAGAAGATTTCAATTTCAACCTATCAATAGAATCTTTCAATCCAGTTAATAAACCAAAATGAATATATTCACCTGGACTTACAACTTTTGATACAGCAGTCCTTTTTGTTTTCAGAAGTGTTCTACTATCTGCTGGTAAATCACTGAAACAATCATGAAGTTTTAGCCCTTTAAGTAGTGCAGATACAGCATTATGAGGTATCTGATAATTCACAGCCCACTCTGCTAAAAATTGTCTTGCATCAAAAACTTCAGTTATATCATCATCCTCGCTATCTGAGAGAGACGAATAATCATTTCTTTCAACATCGCCCTGTAACTCTGCCTGGTAAGAAGACGGTCCTTCAAAGTCATCTACAATAGAAGCATTATTCGCAGTTTCAATATTATCTATTGTACAAGCACTAGTACTAGGCAAATCAATATTATCCTTTTCGCATTCAGAGTTCTGCAAAACACTTTCCGAACGTAATTTCTGCATTTCCCAATTAAGTCTTCTATAAAAATGTCTATCTGACACAGTCGCAATGTGTTTGCAAATTTTTTTATCAGACATATTTATTTATTTATTGACAAATTACAGAGTCAAACAACAAACAAATTACGAATATATTATATTCTAATATTGTTCAGGATTTTAGTAGCATAAGTATACTTTTACAGCACTCAGTTTATACTTGTTTATCTATGACAGTCTGGAGTCATCAAACAAAGAATTGCAAATGACGCCGAACAACATAGAAGTGCCGCCATCTGTGCGCTAGTTGCGCAAACGCCGCGCACGCGTATGCGCATGCGCGGTATATTTGAATACATTTTTCATTTGCCCATAACAACACGGTGAGTAATGGGTAAGAGTAGGTCGACCATTGTTCGACCCGGCGCGTAACGTATGGGTCTAAACCCCCTGCGTCATAAATTGGCCCATAATGGGCTTATAATAACCCAGTAGGCTTTAAATGGGACCAAACAGGTTGACCATTGCTTGACCCGTGCTGTATGGGTAAGAATTGATAATTGTTTAATTTTTGTAGCTTACTGTGATATTTGTTCTCAACATAATAAAAATATAACTAGTGGTGCATGGCATCGTGTCTTTAAGCAAATTGGTGGAACTTCCCGTTCCGTAATTAAATAGAATCGAGGAATAATAAATGATTTCACATAGTATTCGTATTTGAATGACAAAATATAAGAATAAATTGGAGAACGACGTTTATATATGTATACATAAAAAGTAAATAAAATTATAAAAGAACATATCTCATATTTATAAGAATTATATAAACTAATTTGCAAATTTAAATTTATTTACTTGAAGTATATAAGAGAGTTTTAGAATTTTAGCTAGCATTAAAATTAAAATCCGAATCATTTTTCATATTGTAATAAATTGAAATAATTGTAAATTAAAAAAAAATGGACAAAAAAAATTTCTGCTTTCCTAAACTAATCGATTCTTTATACTGCAAAATGTTTTTTGAATCATTCGAATCGGAAGCTTTGAAACGATTGGGCCTGTCTTTTCCAGAAACTAATCACCACGTCATCAATACAAATTGAATGTTTTTAAATAATTCAAATCGGATGCTCTGTTTTCTCAATAGGAAACGATTGCTTTTTGAATGTTTAAAATCGGTTGATCCGTGCTCCCGAAAACGTGGACAGAAAATTGTATCCACACACACACACACACAAACACATACATCCATTTCTTTAAGGTATGTCAATATATTCAAAAACCTCTGAAACGTTAAATATGTAAAAAGGTTTATTAACTATATGTAAATTACAATTTTAGGAAAATTACTATAACTTGCGGTAAGTAAATAATAAATGTATTTATTAACTATCGGTCATTAAGTTTTAATAACAATTAACTTAATTGAATAATAATTTTGCGAAACTTGTTTATATACGCCACCATTTATTAGATACTGAGATACGAGGTTGCGCATGGCACATTTTTTGAATTGAGATACGTGATTGTATTCTTCTCAATAAAAAACGTTCGGTTGATTTTTTTTTTACAAAACTTCACAGATCTATGCGTCTATATTTAGTGATTCATTTTCCGATTAAAACTCAAAATCGTCAAAAATCGAGTTACGAGGTCGCGTCAGAAAAGCATCGATATGTCTAATGATCATTTTTCACCGCCAAATGCCATTTTCTTCACTTTTTTCACATTCCTCAAAATTTAATCAGTTGCTCATTTTGTCAATATAAGTAAAATGTTTTTTTAAATTATTGAAATCGTTTTCTTATCGCTCCATTCTCTTCAAAACTGAATCACTATTTTTGGCACTTTTTGCCTCGTATCTTCGAAACGGCTTTGCCAAAAATTAAACAGCACTTCTCCTTATTTATATGAATCGAATGTTTTTTGAATCATTCAAATTAGATGAAACGTTAATAATTAAGTATACATGAATCAATGATGACAATCCAAATTCATAATTTTTAATAACTGTGTCAATATCTAATGGCAACATATGAGATAGAAGATGAAGTGTCTCCGCCAATTTTATATCATTATATGCTACAGTATGTCATTACTAAAAGACGAATGAATCTGTATAAGATATTTTGATCCAAAATGTCGATAAAAAACGTTAATTCTAATTGCAATCTAGATGTAAGAAACCTAAGCCGAACAACAGCCCTTATACGATAGAATATAACATTACATATTATTATAAAATAACCCACTTTGAATCGTCGAATTATTAAATTTACTTACTTTATTTTACTTGCTCCAAAAAATATATAAATATTTCTGGAACATATGGCTATTGATATTTTGAAACATTCCACTCGCAGTTTACATTTTTTAATTGTTTTATCGCTAAAAAATAAGCAGTATTTTTTAGAACAAAAATTGATATAAATTTAAAAAACGACAATTCAAATTGGATAGTTTTGAGATAATATGTGGAATTATATTCCACTACTGTCCGGCTGTTGTTCGTGTTTTGTACCTTATATCAAGATTGCAATTGGAATTAACGTTTTTTATTGACATTTTAGATTAAACCATCTTATACAGATTTATTCATTTGGTAATAGCATATTGAATCATATAATGATACAAAAATGTATGAGGTTAACGACAGTTCATCTTCCATCTCATATATTGACACTGGATATCGGCACATTTATTCAATATTATGATGAAAATTTATTAAATATTGTGATTTTGGATTGTCATTATACGCCCTGAATTCATATATAATTAAATATTTCGTTTATTCGCTTCAAAAACAGTCGTATATGTGACCCTCCTACACTAGGAAAATGACATAGCTGGCGGGTGTTGCTCAAGAACTAAGGTAATTAGGGGCTGACACTATAGTTTTATACTTCAAAAATTTCATTAAACTTATACTATTTAAACAGAAACCAACAAACTCTTATTTTTTCACTTATATTACACATTTGATGACGTTTAAAAGCTGCATATTATGAAGAATATGAATTTTTCAACTTTTCAAACGGCAATATCTCAGAAACGGTGATACTAACAAAAAAAATTAATAATAGCAATTTAATAGAGAATTTTATAATAAATAAACTTATCTAACATATTTTTTTTAAAAAAATATGGTTTCGGCGGAAAATGGGAAAAACTAGATTTTTGCACCTTTGACCTTGAATAAAAAAAATCGCAGATGTCGGATCGATGGGGACTTTTGACATTTCATTTGTAATGGCCTATTTAACATCTGTACCAAATTTCAGCTCTATGCGAATTGTTCCTAACTGACGGCTATTTTAGCTTTAATTTCACTGGGGTATTGGCTCCGGGAGAAACATCCAAAGTCCGATAAAAAGTTTTTGTTTTGCTGTTGCCGTTGCCATTGCCGGTACCGCGCGCCGCCTTATATATATATATTTTTTTTTTCTTTATTTATTATAGACAATCAGAATTACAAGTTCTATGAGTCTATGTGATTAAGTATGACGTTTAGAGGTATCTTCCACTGAAGAGATTCCCCTGTAGATAATCTATAAAATAAATCAATGTTAATTATTTATATCTATGTAAATAATATATCTATGTTAATGAATAATCTATGTTAGTAATATAACAGAGCTTAAATTAAGTTAGTAGATCTTCTGGCCATTTTCTTTTGAGCCTTCTAGTTGGATCATGATTTTTGATCAATTGCATGGCTGGATTTGGATGTTGGTCTAATTTCATGTGGTATGAATTGCTTCTTTGCTGAATTACTTCTTTTACGGTCAGTATGTTTAAATCTGAATGAATAGTATTATTCGACACGTACCATGGTGCATTAACTATAGCTCTTAAAATTTTATTTTGAGTTCGTTGGATAATCTTTATGCTGGACGTGCTTGCACATCCCCATAGTTGAATACCATATGTCCATATCGGTATAATTACTGACTTATATATTAGTAATTTATTGTTGTATGACATTTTAGATTTTCTTCCTATTAGCCAGTAGAGTTGTCTAAATTTATCCATAATTTGCTTCCTTTTTTGTTTTATTTGAATATTCCATGTTAGTTTGCGGTCCAGATGTAAACCTAAGTATTTAACGCTGGTGCAAGTCAATATTTCCACGTTGTTTATAAATACAGTAGGACAGTTTTTCTTTCTTGTAGTGAAAGTGATATGTCGCGTTTTATCCGTGTTTAGCTTTATTTTCCATTTCATTAACCATTTCTCTAACTCAAACAGGTGGTCCTGTAAGTTTAGTGTTGCAATTTCTGGATCTTCGTGGGTAGTCATGATCATGGTGTCATCGGCAAATGTGCCGAGGGTGGCGCGCCGCCTTATATATGTACTGTAGTTGTTTGCTAACTAAAGAATTCTATTCTATCATAAAAGTTTCTTTTGCGACACGCCCCTCCTCTTGGCCAGACCTTCTTCTTCTACTTCATCTTGACTTATGATAATAGGTCATGTTTTGTTCGCGCACCAGAGACCAGAGATATGAAATCGGGAAGCAGCGATAGCAGGAGATAAATAATTTCACTTTCAGATATAACATCTCGAAGTACAATTTAATGGCTTTGACAGAAAACCCGACTCGGTGATCATACGCTTTAGTCATTCTGAATCATTTTGGACATTTTTTTAACTTCCCAAAGGAGAGTTTTATGTTTTCATCAAAAAATCCGATTCGCTAATTTTATGTTTTCTCGACCTTTCAAGCCATTCTGAATCGAATGAGACCAAATGGAAATGGAATGGAATGGAAAAAGTGTGTGTGTGTGTGTGTATGTGTGTGTGCGTGTATGTGAACAGATTTTTTGCCGTAAATCGACGTTTTCTCGAAAACGGCTGGGCCGATTTCAAAAATTTAAAAGCGATGTACTCGTATCTCGATGAGGAATATTGTTTGTCAGTCATGTGCTACGATCGGCCAAGCCGTTTCTTTATAAATCGCAAAAAAGTGAAAAAAAAAATTGTCTACGTTTTAGCCCGCAATTCTGAATTGGTTTTGAAAATTCAAAAACCGTTCGAAAGATATTGGTTGGGAATCGTGCTGATTAGTTTTTGGTAGAGATTGGCCGGGCCGTTTC